TGCATTTCCATCAGTTCTACATTCTCACCAGCATTTTTTTTTTTTTTTTGAGACGTAGTTTCGCTCTTGTTACCTAGGCTGGAGTGCAATGGCGCGATCTCAGCTCACCGCAACTTCCGACTCCTGGGTTCAGGCAATTCTCCTGCCTCAGCCTCCTGAGTAGCGGGGATTACAGGCACACGCCACCATGCCCAGCTAATTTTTTTCTATTTTTAGTAGAGACAGGGTTTCACCATGTTGACCCGGATGGTCTCGATCTCTTGACCTTGTGATCCACCCGCCTCGGCCTCCCAAAGTGCTGGGATTACAGGCTTAATGATATATGACGTGGAGCATCTTTCCATATGTTTATTTGCCATCTCTTTTTTTGAAGATGTGTCTGTTAAGGTCTTTGACCCATTTTTTTTTTGAAACGGAGTCTGTCACCCAGGCTGGAGTGCAGTGGTGATCTCAACTCACTGCAACCTCCACCTCCTGGGTTCAAGCAATTCTCCTGCCTCAACCTCTTAATCAGCTGGGATTACAGACATTTGCCACCATGCCCTGCTAAATTGTGTATTTTTAGTAGAGACAGGTTTTCGCCAGGTTGGCCAGGCTGGTCTGGAACTCCCAACCTCACATGATCTGCCTACCTCGGCCTCAAAAAGTGCTGGGATTACAGGCGCAAGCCACTGCGATGGCCCCACTTTTTAATTGAGTTGTTCATTTTCTTAGTATTGAGTTTTAGCAGTTCTTTGTATATTTTGGGTAAGTCCATTATCAGATGTATCTTTTGCAAATATTTTCTTCCAGTATGTGGCTTTTCATTTTTTCTTTTTTTTGTGATGGAGTCTCTGTTGCCCAGGCTGAAGTGCAGTGGCGCAATCTCCACTCACTGCAACCTCTGCCTCCTGGGTTCAATTCGGCCTCCGCCTCCTGAGTAGCTGGGATTACAAGCGCCCACCATGACACCTAGTGAATTTTTTATATTTTTGGTAGAGACAGTTTCACCATGTTGGCCTGGCTGGTCTCAAACTCATGACCTTAAGTGATCTGTCTCAGCCTCCCAAAGTGCTGGGATTACAGGTGTGAGCCACCATGCCCAGCCCTTCTTTTCATTTCCTTGAGTGTCTTTAGGAGAATTTGTCACTTTAATTAAGTACAGCTTATAAATTATCTCATTCATAGATCATGCCTTTGGTGTTGTTTCTAAAAAGTCAAGGCCAATCCCAAGGTCATGTACATTTTCTGTTATCTGATAGGTGCTTTACAGCTTTGCATTTTATATTTAGGCCTGTGACCTATTTTGAGTTAATCTCTGTGTCTAGATTCACGTTTTTTGCATGTGAATGTCCAGTTGTTTCAGCACCATTTTTTAAAAAACATCGCTCTTCTATTACATTGCTTTGTTCCTTTGTCACAGAGCAGTTGACTATATTTATGTGAATCTATCTCTAGGCTCTCTATCCTGTTCCGTTGACCTATTCTTTCATCAATATTATACCACTAGTGGGGCATGGTGGCTTATGCCTGTAATCCCAGCACTTTGGAAGCCCGAGGTTGGTGGATAACCTGAGGCCTGACCAACCCCGTCTCTACTAAAAATACAAAATGCGCCAGGTGTGGTGGCGTATACCTGTAATCTCAGCTACCCAGGAGGTGGAGGTTGCAGTAAGCTGAGTGCACCACTGCACACCAGCCTGGGCAACAAGAGCAAAACTCTGTCCCCCCCAAAAAAATAAAAAATACTATACCACCTTAATTACTGTAGCTTTACAGTAAGTCTCAAAAGTTGAGTAGTGTCAGTCCTTCATGTCTCTACTGGATTTTTTTTCTTGAGACTGTCTTACTCTGTCCCCCAGGGTGGAGTACAGTGGTACTTCCCAGGCCCAAGTGATCCTCCCAGCATCCCAGGCAGCTGGAACCACAGGCACATGCCACCATGCCCAGCTAATTTTATTTTTAAATTTTTTGTAGGCCAGGTACAGTGATTCATGCCTATAATACCAGCACTTTGGGAGGCCAAGGCAAGAAGATGACTTGAGCTCCAGAGTTGGAGACCAGCCTGGGCAACAAAGCGATACCTCGTCTCTACAAAAAAGTTTAAAACTAGCCAGGCATGGTGGCATATGCCTGTAGACTCAGCTATTCAGGAGGCTGAGAGGTGGGAGGATTGCTTGAGCCTGGGAAGTCGAGGCTGCAGTGAGCTGAGATCATGCCACTGCACTCCAGCCTGGGCAACAAAGTGAGACCTTGTCTCAGAAAAAAAAAAAAAAATTTTTTTTAGAGATGGGATCTCCCTGTGTTGTCCAGGCTGGTCTCAATGATCTTCCACTTTGGTCTCCCAAGGTGCTGAGATTATAGGCATAAGCCACCACACCCAGCTAGAATTGACATTTTAAAAATACTGTCTTCCTACCATGAATGTGAAACACCACTGCATTTTTTTTTTTCCATTAGAGTTTTGTAGTTGTCTTCATATAGATCTTACACATATTTGGATTTATCCTAAGTATTCCACTTCCTTTTGGTGCCAATGTAAATGGAATTGCTTCTAATTTCAAATTCCACTTGTTCATTACTGGTATAGCCAAAGGGTCTCTAAAACTCTTTCCAACAAAAAAAATAAAAGAAAGAAATAACTCTTTCCAAAACAAATAACTGTCATTAACTAAAGATATTAAAGAAGGATTGGAAATAGATTATGAAGTTCACAAAATATTTTAAGTGATAACATCCCCAGGTAAGAACTATCCTGAGAATAACATTCATTTGAAAAAACTTATCTGTCCCTACCCCGTTACTGTACAAATGAGGCAATATACACTTAGTGGCTGAGTTTGGGCTGTAGTCAAATAAACCTGAGTTTAAGCTCTACAGCTTACTAAGTCATAACCTTGGGCAAATTATTTACTCTAAGCCTCAAATTCCTCACCTCTAAAATGCATATCTAAATTTGTTAGGAGAAATAAGGAGGTAATGCTTATTGAGAAAATTTAACAACACCCTGAAGCAGAGAAATGAGTGATATGCTCAAGACAGCCAAGGGTGAGTCTCATTATGGGTACCTACAATAAACTATGGTGTATTATAATGTGAATATTCCTTTTAGATCCTATGGAATGTATTCTTTTTTTTTTTTGAGACAGAGTTTCACTCTTGTTACCCAGGCTGGAGTGAAAGGCGCGATCTTGGCTCACCGCAACCTCCGCCTCCTGGGTTCAGGCAATTCTCCTGCCTCAGCCTCCTTAGTAGCTGGGATTACAGGCAGGTGCCACCGTGCCCAGCTAATTTTTTGTATTTTTAGTAGAGACGGGGTTTCACCATGTTGACCAGGATGGTCTCGATCTCTTGACCTCATGATCCACCCACCTCAGCCTCCCCAAAGTGCTGGGATTACAGGCATGAGCCACCGCGCCCGGCCGGAATGTTATTCATTTTTGAAGTAGCATATAAATTTACACATGTACTTGTAACAAATCCTTTAACAAGGGGCGGGACACAGTGGCTCACACCTCTAATTCCAGCACTTTGGGAGGCTGAGACAGGTGGATCACCTGAGGTCGGGAGTTCAAGATCAGACTGACCAACATTGGGAAACCCTGTCTCTATTAAAAATACAAAAAAATTAGCCGGATGTGGTGGCGCAAGTCTGTAACCCCAGCTACTCAGAAGGTTGAGGCAGGAGAATTGCTTGAACCCAGGAGGCAGAGATTGTGGTGAGCTGAGATAGCACCATTGCCCTCCAGCCTGGGCAACAAGAGCAAACTCAATTTCACACACACAAAAAAAATCTCTACAAAACAGAAACACTTATTTTAATGACAATGATTTTTTTCCCCCTGGATTTGCTTAAATCAAGAAATTCTAAAATAGTTCAATTCTCTAGCTCTCAAGTTTCACAGATATAATTACTAGAGCAAGCACTTAAAATCTTCATTGCTGTGTCCTATCAAGCTACAGTTATTTCAAAGATTTCATCCTGCACCAGGATCAGCAACCTCACTCATCTGGGTTAGTTTGCTTATCTCTAAAAAAGGAGAATATTTTGAACTGTAGCGTAAAACATTAAAATTAAGAAGGAGAGAAGTTGCACTAGTTTTCCTCAAAGCCCTTTGCAAGTCCCCTATCTCTTCCCATCTCCTTGACCGTGCTCCCTAATACTAAAGTTGGAATTCTGACCAGGACCTGAAACACGGATTTTAAAAGAGGTTAATTTTATAACACAGAATGTTTTAACTTCTTGTTATATATCCATTCTCCAATACCAATTCATAGTAAGCTCCACATAGCAAGAAGGTATGGGAGCTCTATTGACTTCTTTGTTTGATCTATTCCCAACACATGCAATATGAAACAGAAGGATTGGTATGGTAAAAATTTTGGACTTCAATAGATGTTCACTGACTCAAATATTCCTAAAATAAAACCAGAAACATTAAATGCTGAAATAAAACCAACCACATGTAGTCAGATTCATAGATAGAAAAAAAATAAGAACTACACAATGTCTTTTAGAAGCAGATTTTTAAGCTAGTAAAAGAGACAAAATGGGCTAAATACTCAAACCCTATTCCACTTCACAAACTGACTCATGTCATCCTTCTTGGACTCTTCCTGTGTCCATTTCATTCACAACACACATTCCCACATATGCATCTCTTAGAGGAACTGACTTCCTGGAAAGACTACTTAGCCAAGTCTTCAGGTAATGTCTAACCTGTTGATTCTCTTGGTTGAGGGATGGACACTCATTTGTCCCTCCCTCCCTTACCCCTTTACACATCTTCCTGCTTCATTCTGCTCCAGGAAAACAATATGTATCATTCTAGTTCCAGGATGAAATCAGACATTTCCACGAGACTTCAAAAATACATATCCATTTATCCCTCCATTCATCCATTTATATATATAAATAAATATCAATGACAAAAAATGTTTTTTGCTAGAAGTCTGGAAGAAGGATCACCTGAAGACCCAAACTCTAATACTTAGGAATGTGTGAAAAATACCACACCAAGTTTAAAAATAACTCTTTAATCATATGCACATATGGGGAATAAAGGGCAACACCAGGCTGACTGGGGAAGGGAGCAAGATATTCTCCCTTTGTCCCAATATCTGCTTGGCACAGTTCTGAGATCACACAAACAAGTGGGAGTAGGTTGGGTAACAGAATAAGTGAGAGGACTGAAGAGACAAAGGCAAGGTGGGGAGGCAAGGGCTCGCAGTAGTCTCAGTCAGTGGACTCTAACACAGATTCACTCAGCGCAAGGTCCCAGTAGTGTTCAGCCCCATGCTTTTTGAAATGCTCACGAGCCATGTTCTCTGTAGGACACTGTTTAAACTTCATCTCTCCAAAACTCCGGTCTTTGGCTGTACCCTAGGAAAGACATAAAATACTGAAATTTCTTATTTAAATCAGATATAATTATTTTTATAAGAACTATAATATTTGTGAGCAATGTGCATGCTGAACATGATTTTATGGTAAAAAAAAAATTGTGACCTCCATTTCCTTGGATATTTGCATGAGTGTTTATGAATTCATATGCATAAGGGTTTTAGTTTTTTGAATGAAGTGAGGATGAGGAATTCTTTCCTCTGGTGCCTGGGTGGAACACCAAAACAGGAATAATTATAGGGGGTAGGATGAGATAAACTTATCTCCTACCAGGCCTTAAGGACTAAATTTAGGCCCTCAAAAAGGCCCAAAAATCTATTTATACAAGCAGGAGGCTTTGGGGCCCAGCAACAAAGAACAATTGGGGGTGGGGAACAGAAGAAAAGCAGGTAAGAGCAGAGAATTACAATAGAAAAAGACAGTACTAGGCAGAATGGGCATTCTTGCCAAAGGTACCAGCAGCAATGGCAGTTATAAAGCACTACCCTCAAGAGGTTTTCAGGGAGTAGACACCAATAGGGAGGCTGGAGCCAAACTTGGCTTATTTCTGAACCTGAGAGAGAATTCCTGAAGACTAAAGTTCTAAAACATTAATACTGATTCTCTAAGAAGCCAGGACTTTTTCAGTAAATACTCTTCAGAGACAAATAGAAGAAAATTTAAGAGATGAAGGGGCTAATATATGTGCAGGTAGGGCTGGGTAAAGTAGCTCATGCCTATAATCGCAGCCCTTTGGGAGGCTGAGGTGGGAGGATCACTCAAGGGTAAGAGTTCAAGACCAGTCTGGACAACATAGTGAGACACCATTTCTACAAAAAATAAAATAAAATAAATTAGGCACAGTGGTGTGAACCTGAGGTCTCAGATACCTGAGAAGCTAAGGCCAGAGGACCGCTTGACCCTAGGAGTTCAAGGCTGTAGTGAGCTATGACTGTGCCACTGCACACCCAACCTGGGCAACAGGGCAAAACCCTGTCTCTTAAAAAATAAAAAAATAAAAAAATAAATAAAAATATATGCAGGTGGGAACTTACAGAACAGAGAAACAAATATTATGGTTATTTTCCTCTAATTTGTATGCATAAATTGAAGAATCTGAGATAAGGCAGAAGGATACATGAAAATCTTTTTTTTTTTTAATTTTTTATTTTTTGATTACTCCTTCAAAAGAAAAACTATTAATAGCAATTACCTATAAAGATTTGTCTGAAGAGATCAGAGAATAGGAAGACACATTTTCTTTTCTTTTTTTTTTTTTTTTTTTGAGATGTAGTTCTCACATTGTCACCCAGGCTGGATTGGAATGGCATAATCTTGGCTCACTGCAACCTCCGCCTCCCTAGTTCAAATGATTCTCCTGTCTCAGCCTCCCGAGTAGCTGGGATTACAGGCACCCACCACCATGCCCAGCTACATTTTGTATTTTTAGTAGAGATGGGGTTTCACCATGTTGGCCAGGCTGGTCTTGAACTCCTGACCTCATGATCTGCCCATCTTGGCCTCCCAAAGTGATGGGAATACAAGCGTGAGCTACGGGGCCCGGCCCAAGACATTTTCTTTTTGTTTTGTTAAGACAGGGTCTCTAGCTGGGCAAGGTGGCTCACACCTGTAATTCCAGCACTTTGGGAGGCTGAGGCAGGCCAATCACCTGAGGTCAGGAGTTTGAGACCAGCCTGGCCAACATGGTGAAACCTAGTCTCTACTAAATTTACAAAATTCAGCTGAGCATAGTGGTGCACACCTGTAGTCCCAGCTACTCAGGAGGCTGAGGCAGGAGAATCGCTTGAAACCTGGAGGCGGAGGTAAAAGTGAGCTGAGATTGTGCAACTGCATTCCAGCCTAGTGACAAAGCGAAACTCCATCTCAAAACAAACAAACAAACAAACAAATAAACAAAAAAACAAAGACAGGGTCTCACTCTGGTGCCCAGGCTGGAGTGCAGTGGTGCAATCAGAGCTCACTGCAGCCTCAAATTCCCAAGCTGAAGCAATCTTCCCACCTCAGCCTCTTAAGTAGCTGGGACTACAGGCACATGCCACCAGGCCTGGCTAATTATTGTATTATTTGTAGTGACAGGGTTTCGCCATGTTGCCCAGGCTGGTCTTGAACTCCTGACCTCACGCAATCCATCCACCTCGTCCTCCCAAAGTGCTAGGATTACAGGCGTGAGCCACTGTGCTGGGTTTCAGTAAGTACTCTGCTGTATAATTAGAATTTTTTTTAACGTAATATTTACTACTTTTGTAATAATGTTTTTAAAAATAGAAGATATACAGCCAGGCACAGTGGCTCATGCCTGTAATATCAGCACTTTGGGAGTCCTAGGCAGGAGGATCAGGAGGTCAGGAGATCGAGACCATCTTGGCTAACATGGTGAAACCCCATCTCTACCCAAAATACAAAAATTAGCAGGGCATGGAGGTGTGTGCCAGTAGTCCCAGCTACTTGGGAGGCTGAGGCAGGAGAATTGCTTGAACCCAGGAGGCGGAGGTTGCAGTGAGCTGAGATTGCACCATTGCACTCCAACCTGGGCAGCAAGAACAAACCTCTTTCTCTAAAAAAAAAAAAAAAAAAAAAAAGAAGAAGATATACATGTACTATACCTAAAAGCACACATGAAAACATTAATACTGATTCTCTAAGAAGGCTTCAGGGGTTAAAGAACTAGATAACCATTAAAAAAAATTCCCCCTGAAGAGTGATTTAGTCACATTTCATGAAGCACTATTACATAATTACCTAATTTGGTTCTCAAAAAAATTGACAATATAAAGAGTAAATAATAATGTCTACATTTTATAGATAAGGCAACAGAATTTGACACTGAGTGTCCTTCTTGGATTGCACAGCTAATAAGCAGCAATGCCCAGCCTCCTAATTTTATACTGAGTCTAGTACTTCCTTCTTTCCAAGTCTCATATGCATGATCGTGAAATTAATAATTTTCTTTCTTTTTTTTTGAGACGGAGTTTTGCTGTTGTTACCCAGGCTGGAGTGCAATGGCACAATCTCGGCTCACCGCAACCTCCGCCTCCTGGGTTCAAGCAATTCTCCTGCCTCAGCCTCCCAAGTAGCTGGGACTACAGGCGCGCACTACCATGCCCAGCTAATTTTTGTATTTTTAGTAGAGATGGGGTTTTACCTTGTTGACCAGGATGGTCTCGATCTCTTGACCTCGTGATCCACCCACCTCGGCCTCCCAAAGTGCTGGGATTCAAGGCGAGAGCCACCACACCCAGCCATAAATAATTTTCAGTAGAGAATTTGTATTCCTGCTACCAGCAGCACTGTCCACACACTTCCCCAGATAACACATAATAAATACTCTTCAATTTAACTAAAAAGATGATCAGGAAGAATTTGCTGCCGACCATTTAAAAATGGATTTCAGGCCAGGTGCAGTGGCTCATGCCCATAATCCCAGCACTTTGGGAGGCCAAGAGGGGTGGAACAGAAGGTCAGGAGTTTGAAACCAGCCTGGCCAACATGGTGAAACCCTATCTCCACTAAAAATAGAAAAATTAGCCAGGCATGGTGGCAGGCACCTGCAATCCCAGCTACTAGGGCGGCTGAGGCAGAATAGCTTTAAACCAGAAGGCGGAGGTTGCAGTGAACTGAAATGGCACAACTGCACTCCAGCCTGGGCAACAAAAGCAAAACTCTGTTTTAAAAAAATAAGTAAATAAATTCCAATGAGAAACATAAATTATTGAAGGAATTACTCACTGATTAGTTTTTATATTCCATTGCTCTATTAAATAGTATAAACAATCAGAGGTGGCTAACATTTTACAATGATTTACAAAGGATCACTGACCTCCCAGACTAGTACACATTTGTTGGTTTTCTTCACAGCTTCCTCATCAGATTCCTCATCATCTGGAAGAAAAATCTTGTTACAGACTCAGCCTTGAGATTCAGGTTCTAAACAAACAATATTCAAATCTACCCAAACTCTAAAATATTGTCACCCTTGTTATGTGTTGAACCAAATGTTTTATTCTGTTGCCCTTTATTTTTTCCAAATTAAACTTGAAGCTCCAAGTGGGCAGGAATATAAATTGATACAATTAGCATTTACTGAGCACCTGTTATGAATCAAAAGCTGCAACAGGTACTGGGAATAAGAAAATAAAAAATAAGCAGTCAACATAAAAATTTGTCCTAAGAACTTTGGGAGGCAGTCTCAACATCATATAGTACTCTCAAAAAACTTGCACCGAATGGAGGAGGAGGGCAGATAAACCAAATCAAAATCATCAGCTGGGCATGGTGGCTCACACCTGTAAGTCTACCACTTTGGGAAGCCAAGGTGGTTAGATAACCTGAGGTCAAGAGTTCGAGATCAGCATGGCCAACATGGTGAAACTTCATCTCTACTAAAAACAGAAAAATTAGGCTGGGCACGGCAGCTCACACTTGTAATCCCAGCACTTTGGGAGGCCAAAGTGAGTGGATCACGAGGTCAGGTGTTCAAGGCCAGCCTGGTCAAGATGGTAAAACCTCATCTCTACTAAAAAATACAAAAATTAGGCCGGGTGCGGTGGCTCATGCCTGTAATCTCAGCACTTTGGGAGGCTGAGGAGGGCAGATCACGAGGTCCAGAGATCGAGACCATCCTGGCCAACGTGGTGAAACCCTGTCTCTACTAAAAATACAAAAACTAGCTGGGCATGGTGGCACGCACCTGTAGTCCCAGCTACTCGGAAGGCTGAGGTGGAAGGATCACTTGAACCCAGGAGGCAGAGGGTGCAGTGAGCTGAGGACTGCACCACTGCGCTCCAGCCTGGTGACAGAGCAAGACTCCGTCTAAAAAAAAAAAAATTAGCCAGGCATGGTGGCAGGTGCCTATAATCCCAGCTACTCAGGAGACTGAGGTAGGAGACAGGGATGGAGTTTGTAATAAGCTGAGATCATTCCAGTGTGCTCCAGCCTGGGTGACAGAATGAGACTCCATCTCAAAAAAGTAAAAATAAAAAATAAAAAATTAGCCAGGCATGGTGGCAGGTGACTGTAATCCCAGCATCTTGGGAGGCCAAGGCAGGAGAATCACTTAAACCTGGGAGGTAGAGGTTGGAGTCAGCCAAGATTGCATGATTGCACTCCAGCCTGGGCAACAGAGCAAAAACTATGCTTCAAAAAAAAAAAAAATTATCTTATGCACATGTGTAAAACAAAATAAAATATAAGTCAGTTATATTACAAAAATGTACTTTAAATACTTCAAGGACAAAAAGTACAGGAAGGCTAAAGTTAGGTAGTTAACAAAAGTTAAGAAAAGTTCTCTGCAGTTTTTTAAAATTTTTTATTCTCAGGTCTCTTAAGATGAACTCTGCAGATTTAATTTATTTATTAATTTTTTTTTTTTTTGGTTTAGAGATAGAGTCTCACTCTGTCACCTAGGCTGGAGTGCAATGATGTGGTCTTGCCTCACTGCAACCTCAGCAATCCTCCTGCCTCAGCCTCCTGAGTAGCTGGGACTACAGGGGCCCATCATCATGCCTGGTGAATTTTTGTGTTTTTACCAGAGACAGGGTTTCACCATGTTGGCCAGGCTGGTCACAAACTCCTGACCTCAAGTGATCTGCTCACCTCAGCCTCCCAAAGTGCTAGGATTACAAGCATGAGCCATTGCGCCTGGCCTTAAATGTATTTTTGACTTAACAATATATTCAACTTATCACAGGTTTATTAGAACCCCATCATAACGAGCATTTCTGTGTGTGTGTGTGTGTGTGTGTGTGTGTGTGTAAGATAACAGGAAAAAGAAAAAGTAGTTTTTTGATTACAGCAGACCTTTTTTGATCCTAAAGTCTTTTTTTTTTTTTTTTTTGGCCTTCTGTCCTTAGGAAAAAAAAAAAACATCAGGCTGGGCACAGTCACTCACGCTTGTAATCCTAGCACTTTGGGAGGTTGAGGTGGGCGGATCACCTGAGGTCAGGAGTTTGAGGCCAGTCTGGCCAACATGGAGAAACCCCATCTCTACTAAAAATACAAAATTAGCTTGGTGTGGTCGTGCATGCCTGTAATCCCAGCTACTCGAGAGGCTGAGGCAGGAGAATCACTCAAACTGGGGAGGCAGAGGTTGCGGTGAACCAAGATTGCACCATTGTACTCCGGCCTGGGCAACACAGTGAAACTGTCTCCAAAAAAAAAGATCAAAGAATAATATAATACAGACACTGTACACATGAATGTATTGCTTAATTTGCTTTTTCTTTGAGACGGTCTCATTCTGTCACCCAGGCTGGACTGCAGTGGCACAATCACAGCTTACTGCAGCCTCGACCTCCCCAAGCTCAAGTGATCCTCCCACCTCAGCTTCCTGAGTAGCTGGGAGTATAGCTGTTTGCCTCCACACTCTGCAAATTTTTGTACTTTTTGTAGAGATGAGGTTTCACCATGCCCAGGCTGGTCTCAAGCAATCTCCCTACCTCAGCCTCCCAAAGTGCTAGGATTACAGGCATGAGCCACCATGCCTATCTGCTTGCTGAATTTTCAAATACTGAATAAATTCATGTAACCAGTACTCAGATTCTGGACAGACACAGAAACCAACTGGTAGAAAAGTCTTAAATGATAGGCAAAAAAAACAACTTTATCACCCATGCATATAATCATGTAGTAAACACTATATGAATGTCTAGGAGGCTCAAAGTTTAAATGGGTCTTTCTAAATTTTCTGAACACTATTCTGTGTTAGCAAGAGTGTCACAGGGAGGGAATAAGATGAACGGACAGATGTACCATCCCCACCTCCCACAGCTCTCCCACTTAATCCCCCTCTAACCCCCATTCACCATCTCCCTTCGTGTTAGATGTCTGTTCATCCCACTTTATCCGATGCAGCATAAGACGCTTAAATTTCTTCTGGGCCTTGGGGCCTGGAAACAGAGAAGAAGAATTTTGCCAGAACTGTGGAAAATGATGGGCCAGAAAGAACCTCTGAGCTCATCTAATGCTCAGACATTAATGTGGTAATTGAACTAATCCCAAGCAACACATTTTAGGGCCTTCTACTCCAATGAACACAGAAGCAGAGACCTAGAATATTGTATCAGACATGACACTAAAATACTCTTTTTCTCCTTTCTCCCCACAATGCTAGTCACTCTAAGCCTAGGGTTGTCTGGGGGATAGTATCCCTCAAGTTTTTCAGACTCACCCCCTTCCACTACTACCACGTTGACATCCTTGTGCAGTACCACCACCCCTGTCAGGTACAGTTGCCCAGCATTGGCCTCAATCTTGAACTTCTTGGCTGGGTTGCTCAAATTTCGCACTCTGGAGAAGGGAAAGTTTAGTTATGTCTTCCATTTTAGTATCAGCAGCTGCCTGAATGGAGTGGCAAGTAAACGGATGAATCCAAAATGGTTTCCTCTCTATAAATAAAGGCCTCTGGAGTAAACAAATAGATGAATGCTTAAAAGGTAGAGTTGATGAGTCTAGAAACATTTCCACAATCTTGTATTTCTTCAAAGTCTAGGACTTTATACAATAAGCAGGTAACCAAAATTTACTCTAAGGATCAGAGAGAGGTATTTACTATCATCCAAAAATATTCACAATCTCATTATTCTTGACAATATAAAGATCTACAAATTTTTTGTTCTCTAGATCCTTATAATATAGAATCACTCAGTTGGGCGCAGTGGCTCATGCCTGTAATCCCAGCACTTTGGGAGGCTGAGGTGGGCAGATCTCAAGGTCAGGAGTTAGAGACCAGCCTGGCCAATATGGTGAAACCCCATCTCTACTAAAAATACAAAAATTTAGCTGAGCATGGGGGCACACACCTATAATTCTAGCTATTTGGGAGGCTGAGGCAGGAGAATCGCTTGAACCCAGGAGGCAGAGGTTACAGTGAGCCGAGACTGTGCTACTGCACTCCATTCTGGGCAACAAAGCAAGACTCTGTCTCAAAAAATATAAATAAATAAATAAATAAATAAATATGTGTGTGTGTGTGTATACATATATATATGATCACTATATAGGCATGAAAATTTTCTAGAAGGATATGTGAAAAACTGTTAATAGCAATTACCTAAAGACAGTGGTTCTAAGGGATCAGAGAATAGAAAGGGGACATTTTGAGTAAGTGTATTGTCAGATAATTTTTTCTAATTTTTTCTTTTCTTTTGAGACAAAGTCTCACTCTCACCCAGGCTGGAGTACAGTGGCACAATCTCGGCTTACTGCAACCTCCACCTTCTTGGTTAAAGCGATTCTCCTGCCTCAGCCTCCTGAGTAGCTGGGACTACAGGCACATGCCACCACACCTGACTGGTTTTTTTTTTTCTTTTTGAGACGGTGTTTCGCCCTGTCTCCAGGCAGTAGTGCAGTGGCTGGATCTCAGCTCACTGCAATCTCTGCCTCCCGGGTTCAAGCAATTCTCCTGCCCCAGCCTCCCAAGTACCTGGGATTACAGGTGCATGCCACCATGCCCAGCTAATTTTTTGGATTTTAATAGAGATGGGGTTTCACCATGTTGGCCAGGATGGTCTAGATCTCTTGACCTCGTGATCCACCCACCTTGGCCTCCCAAAAGTGCTGGGATTACAGGCATGAGCCACAGTGCCCGGCAATTTTTAAAAAATCTTAATAAGCATTCACTACTTTGTAATAACGTACCACTTTTATAATAAAGAACTAGTTAAGGCCAGGCATGGTGGCTCACGCCTGTAATCCAAGCACTCTGGAGGCCAAGGCGGGCAGATCACCTGGGGTTGGGAGTTCAAGACCAGCCTGACCAATATGGTGAAACCCTGTTTTTTGTTTTTTTTTTTTGTTAAAAAAAAAAAAAAAAAAGAACTAGTTAATAAAACTAAGCATATTTTAAAAATAGAAGATACACAGTCAGACGCAGTGGCTCATGCCTATAATCCCAGCACACTGGAAAGCTGAGGTGGGCGGATCTCAAGGTCAAGAAATCAAGACCATTCTAGCCAACAAGGTGAAACCCCAACTCTACTAAAAACACAAAAAGTAGCCAGGCACGGTGGCACCCGTCTCTGGCCCCAGCTACTCGGGAGGCTAAGGCAGGAGAGGTTGCAGCGAGCCAAGACTGCACCATTGCACTCCAGCCTGGCAACAGAGAAAGACTCTGTCTCAAAAAACAAACACACACAAAAAAGAAGATACATGTGTACTCAATATAAAAGAATAACAACATTAAATCAACACAAAGGTAGAAAAATATTTACAGCATATAAAATGAATTTTGGAGTGAGGATGAAACCACTACAGCAATACATCAGGGTGAGGATGTGACTACTGAGAAAAGAAATCTGTAATGCTTCCATGGATGCTGGAAGCAAACTCAGAGTAGTTAAGAAAGACGGAAAAAAAAAAAAAAGAAATAGGATGATTATAGTTCTCAAAGGACATAGAATCTTTAGTTCACATCTTGGCCTAAACAAGAATATTGATTTGTTCATTTTTCAAAGCTAACATCCTGGTAAAAAAAAGACTTGAGACGGAAGAATTGGATAACCATAAACATAAGTCACTAACCCTCACTTTTATAAAAGATTTACTAGCTCTTGATCCAGACTAGGGTCATTAAAAGAGAGCAGGAACTGGTATTAGATATGCTTTTAGGCCACAGTGATTCTGCCTCAAGCCCTTGGAAAATGTTTTAGTAATTCTAAGGGGAAGGTTGGCCCAGTATGGACACCTACCTATATACAGATATGTGTACCCCCTGTGAAATGTCTTCTTTAAGCTTTTTAATTTTCTTGACCTTTCTCTGTTCTGCCGTGAGCTTTCGGGCAGCGTTGGCCTCTTCATGCGCTCTGTCGTGACAGGAAGGACATCCACAAGTGAGAAAGGCATTGAAGATCAGAGGCAGGGCTGAGGGAAAGAGAGAGCAACGGAGGACTCTCCCCTCCCTCCAAATGTGGATCCCCCAGAAGAGTTTGGGAAAGGTACTTGCCCGGGGTTTCCACCCAATCCCATGGCACTTACTTCTGCCTTTTTGCCATCTGAGCTCGGACATGGGCTTCTACCTTCGTGGGGTCTTGAACAGCTTCTGTTCCTAATACTCGCATCAAATTAGAAATTCTCACTGCAGTGAAGAGAGGACAGCAATCAATCTTTGAGGTCACTTCTGCAGCTGGGTAACTTGTTATCTCTTCCATACCAATTCATACAATTTACCTATTTCAAATCTCTGCTCTAAACTCACTTCCTCCAATAACTCCTACCTTGAAAATCCCACCCAATCACTTCAGCATTTGCGAAAGTTCACACAATTAAGTTGAAGAATTGGCATGCATTTATGTTACCTGAAAATTTATGAAGGAACTTCATAGATGTGGAACTTAATTTCTTTCATATTTTTCACACTGATCACAGCATCCGGTAAAAGAGCTTATACATAACAGTTACTCACTCAAAATATTGCTGAATGAGTATGTAACTACAGGGGCAAGTTTTTATTTTTGCCAATCAGTTTGAGCTTATAAGGTTGCTCAGGTTAGCCTTGAACTCATGAGCTCACCTTCGCAAGCACCACGACCTCCAGTGGGAGCCACTTTGGACCCCTTTATTTTTTTTGTTTTTGTTTTTTGAGGGGCAAGTTTTTTATCCTATACTTTCATTGCAAAAATTAAAACATTAAGAATTATGTACATAAAAGTCTACACAAATATTACAACTACTATCTTAATGAATTTCAAGACCTGTATTCTTCCAGGAAAACCAGAGTGCTTATATAATCAGTATGCTTAAAAATAAGCCTTAAATGGCCTCTATAACGAATGTGTTGACCTATCTTAATATGAAAAGATGGTAGAAAACTTGGAGAAAAAAGACTCCAAGAATGATTCTTAGAAACAGAAATCACCCAAATATAGAAATGTTAAGGTTCCTCTAGAATTAAAGACATAAACTTGCCACCCTTTTTAGCGGCAGAGGCCACTAAGAAATGTACCTTTGGGTTCTGGAGGAGGCATTAGGCCCAGCCTGACTTTTTCTTGTAGTTCTTTCTGTGCTTCCCTCCTTGTTTGTCTCCGAAGTTTTTTCTGTTCCTTCTTGGTAAGATATACTCCCAGCGTAACTGGTGTATCATTGTCAACTGTGAGGCAGAAAAATTGGTATACCAAAGCAGTAAGAATATATATACATACATATATATATATATATTTTTTTTTTTGAGAAGGAGTCTTGCTCTGTCGCCCAGGATGGAGTGCAATGGCATGATCTCAGCTCACTGCAGCCTCTGCCTCCCCGATTCAAGCGAATCTCCTGCCTCAGCCTCCTGTACACGCCACCATGCCTTGCTAATGTTTGTATTTTAGTAGAGACGGGGTTTCACCATGTTGGCCAGGCATGAGCCACTGAATCCAGCCAGCAATAATAGTATTAAAGAGACCAAGGTAAATATCAATATCATTAAAAGAAACGTTAGGCTGGGCACAGTGGCCTATGCCTGTAATTCTAGCACTTTGGTAGGCCAAGGTGGGAGGATTGCTTGAGCCCAAGAGTTCAAGACCAGCCTGGACAACAAAGTGAGACCCGACTACTATAAACATTTTATGTAAAAAAAAAAAAAAAAAAATTTAAACTTTAGAGAATGAAGAAAACTCATTAATTAATAAGAGATCAGTAAGATTAAAATCAGTTCAAGCCAAGGCACTATGGCAATGTTCTTAAAAAAATTCTTATCTTTAAGTAGTGTTCTTAGTTGTTTTCCTTTAAGTTATTAAATCCCTTCATCAAATGATACCTGGCAAATATAGAAAACAAAATTAGGGCCAGGTGCTGTGGCTCACGCCTGTAATCCCAACACTTTGAGAGGCCAAGGTGGGTGGATCACTTGAAGTCAGGAGTTTAAGACCAGCATGCCCAACATAGCAAAACCCTGCCTCTACTAAAAATACAAAAATTAGCTGGGTGTGGTAGCAGGCACCTATAATCCCACTACTTGGTAGGCTGAGGCAGGAGAATCGCTTAAACCCAGGGGGTGGAGGTTGCAGTGAGCCCAGATTGCACCATTACACTCCAGCCTGGGTGACAAGAGAGAAACTCCGTTTCAAAAAAAAAAAAAAAAATTAGGCTGGCCTCAGGAATTTGAGACCAGCCTAGCCAATATGATGAAACCCCATTTCTACTAAAAATATAAAAATTAGCTAGGTATGATGACTCAAGCCTGTAGTCCCACTACTCAGGAGGCTGAGGCAGAAGAATTGCTGGAACCTGGGAGATGGAGGTTGCAGTGAGCCAAGATTGCACCACTGCACTCCAGCCTGGGAAACAGAGCAAGACTCCATCACAAAAAAAAAAAAATTAAAAATTAAAAACTTAAAAATAAGTAAAACAAAAAACAAAAACTCCACATTCTTCTAATGATTCACACTGATAACCGCTAAGTAGAATCTAGTTAAGTAAATTTCAGTGACTATTACAAATTGTATTGTCTGTTTTGTTTTTGAGACAGGGTCTCTCTCTGTCACCCAAACTGGAGTAGAGGCATGTTTACACCTTAATACAATCTCTACCTCCTAGGCTCATGCAATCCACCCCCCATCAGCCTCCCAAGTAGCTAAGACTACACATGCATGCCACCTTGCCAGCTCATTTTTTGTAGAAACAAGGATTTACCACCGGGCCTGGTCATAATTTATATTAAGATCTCAAACTACTTTTTAAACTTATTGAAAGATACTGTCAAGCAAATTTATCAATTAGGATATTTTCTCCTAGTTTATCCCAAGTGTTAAAATAGCCTATGATTTGCCTAAGCCTTGAAGAATGCATTTCAGTTATTATCTCTACAAATGAGGAAATTCCCAATATTCAAAGTGACATATCCATGGCCAGGCATTCTGCTAGTTAAAAACACAGCCACAACTAAGCCAAAAACTTTGCTACAAAAAGAAAAAAGGAAAACTGCCCACAGAGGAGGTCTACAGAAAAAAAAAAAAATTAAAAAAAGAAAAAATAAACTAAAAAAACAAGAGAAGAAAAAAGAAATGCTAAAGACAAAGAAAATAGACGGGCAGGAGTATAGTATGGTGTACAAGACTAGAGCTGGTATTAGCACTATGGCAAAAGCCCAATTTGTACTATACATCAGTGAGGTCATCTACAGATGAGATCTCAATGCTCTAGAGCTACACTCTTCAATATAGTAGTCATTAGCCATATGAGCTATTTAAATTTAAATAGATTAAAACTGAATAAGGGCTGGTACAGTGGCTCATGCTTGTAATCCCAGCACTTTGGGAAGCCAAGGTGGAAGAATAGCTTAAGCCCAGGAATTCAAGACCAGTCTAGGCAAAATGGCAAAACCTGTCTCTCTACAAAAAAAACAGGAAAAAATTAGCTGGGCATGGTAGCATGTGCTTATAGTCCCAGAGATCCAGGAGGTTGAGTTGGGAGGATCACCTGGGCCTGGGAGGTTAGGGCTGCAGTGAGTCCCCACATTTCAGCCTGGGCTATAAGAGTGAGACCCTGTCCCCCCCACCCCCCCCAAAAAAAAAAAAAAAGAATAAAATTAAGAATTCAGGCTAGACACAGTGGCTCATGCCTTTAATTCCAGCACTTTGGGAGGCTGAGGCAGGCGGATAACTTGAGGCCAGGAGTTCAACACCAGCCTGGCCAGTATGGGGGGAAGCCCATCTCTACTAAAAATACAAAATTAGCTTGGTATGGTGGTGCATGCCTATAATATCAGCTACTCAGGAGGCAGAGGTTGCAGTGAGCCAAGATCACACCACTGCACTCCAGCCTGGGTGACAGAACAACATTCTATTTAAAAAAAAATTAAAAATTAAATTCCTCAGTTGTATTGTGTAACTCAACACTCACTTATGGGGGTGATCACTCTGTGACTTTCCTCTATGTAAACATTAATAAATTTGTATGCCTTTTCTCCAACTAATGTGCCTTATGTGCCTTTTTTGAATTAATTTTTCACTGAAACTTCATAGGGAAAAGGGAAAGTTTTTCCCTTGGCCCCTATAGTAGACAGAAACTGTTTTTCCCTGTATTTCTTCACCAGTTTGTTAAATCTTTTTCAATGCTTTTTCAAAAAACATCCATTTATGTCAAAAAACACTCAATTTTGTCTTCCTGTGGCTTTTTTTTTTTTTGAGACGAAGTCTCACTGTCATCCAGGCTGGAGTGCAGTGGCACGATCTCAGCTCACTGCAACATCCACCTCCCGGGTTAAAGTGATTCTCGTGCTGCAACCTCCCTAGCAGCTGGGACTACAGGCATGTGCCACCACACCTGGCTAATTTTTGTATTTTTAGTAGAGATGGGGTTTCGCCATGTTGCCCAGGCAAGTTGCAAACTCCTGGCCTCATGGGCTCTGCCCGACTCTGCCTCCCAAAGTGCTGGGATTATAGGCATGAGCCGCTGTGCCCAGCCTTCTGAGGCATTTTAATTTTTTTCCCCCACTATTTTTGTTTTATTTATTTATTTTTATTTTATTCTTAAGAGAAACAAGTTTGGGCCAGGTGCAGTCGCTCAAGCCTGTAATCTCAGCACTTTGGGAGGCTGAGGCAGGCAGATCACCTGAGGTTGGGAGTTTGAGACCAGCCTGACCAACACAGAGAAACCCTGTCTCTACTAAAAATACAAAATTAGCCAGGTGTGGTGGTGCATGCCTGTAATCCCAGCTACTCGGGAGGCTGAGCCAGAACTGCTTGAACCCGGGAAGTGGAGGCTACAGTGAGCCGAGATCGCATCATTGCACTCCAGCCTGGACAAGAGCAAAACTCCACCTAAAAAAAAAAAAAAAAAAAAAAAGAGGGGGGGAGGGGGTGGGAGAAAAGCAACTTTGTTTCTCAGTTTCAACTTTGGGAAACTAACAAAAAGTCCTTTGGAGTCAGCATCCCTCACAGTGGGTAGAGGAGCATATTGCATCTAATATAACACACCACCCCAAAAGTTCAGCTCTTGCATTTGCATTTAGCTGTGGACACTAGGACAGCATGGTTCTATAAAAGGAGCAAGCTGAGGGGTGCCTCCTAGGAACAACCCGGGAACTGTAAACGTAAAGCTTCATGAAGTTATTGGGGCTTTTTTCTTTTTGAGACAAGGTCTAGCACTATCACCCAGGCTGGAGTGCAGTTGGCGCCATCTCAGCTTATTGCAGCCTCCACCTCCCAGGCTCAAGCCATCCTCCAGACCTCAGCCGGGTAGCTGGGACTACAGATACATACCACCATGCCCAGCTAATTTTTGTACGTTTTGTCAAGACTCAGTTTTGCCATTTTGCCCAGGTCTCACTCCTAAGCTCAAGCAATCTGCCCACCTCAGCCTCCCAAAGTGCAGTGATTACAGGCGTGAGCCACCATACCCAGCCAAATTTTTTTTTCCTTGAGATGGGTCTTACTATGCTGCCCAGGCTGGTCTTGAACTCTTGGCCTCAAGTGATCCTCCTGTCTCAGCCTTCCAAAGTGTTCGGATTAGAGGCATGAGCCACCATGCTCAGCTGTCTCATGAAATTCTAAGCACAGGAATCACAAGAACATGCACTTAAAATTTATGTTCACTGGTCAAACCACAAACTATTAACTGTCAGGAAAAAAACTGAATTAAAAAAAAGAATTACATATGAATACTGGCTACTGTATTGAACGGCACAGACACAGAACATGTTCATCACTATATAAACTTCCAGTGGATAATGATGCTCTAGAGACTTGATTTAGCAATCTACACATTACCTGGAGGATTGAGTTGGGCTGGATGTTCAACAAGATTTGTGATTCCAAAATAATCTTCTCTCTTGGGATTTTCCTCTGTACTAAAATTGCAGGAAAAAAAGAAAACACAATATGTGGGTAGAGATGATTCTGAGAGGAGTCTCAGAAACACTGAAAAAACCTATTCTCCATAATGGGTTCTAGTGCTTGATATACCTAAAACAGCATTTACATACTTAAAATATATAATTATACACAATCTTCAAGAGAACTGAGTCCCTCTATGGTTGAACACACTCTCCACAGCAGTCATTCCCAACCTTTTTTCTACCACACCACAGCTGGTAGATGCTTTGTTCTCTCATTAGTGACAGTAAGTCCCTGAGAAAGTGGCTGACAAAGAATGGGTAAGGAAAGGCTAAGATAAAGTCTACTAAAGTCAGGTATCAGAATGATGGAGCAGGGCTGGGCACAGTGGCTTATGCCTATAATCCCAGCACTTTGCGAGACTGAGGCAGGCGGATCACCTGAGGGCAGGAATTCAAAACCAGCCTGGCCAAATAGTGAAACGCTGTTGTCTACTAAAAAGATAAAAATTGGCTTGGTATGGTGGTATGTGTTGTAGTCTCAGCTTACCAAGGAGGCTGAGGTAGGAGAATCGCTTGAACCCAGGAGGCAGAGGTTGCAGTGAGCCAAGATCGTGCCACTGCATTCCAGCCTGGGTGAGAGCGAGACTCCCTCTCAAAAACAAGCAAACAAAACAAATACAGGAGCTTATGTACAGTTACTTATTTCTCTTGGATTTTAAAATTTTAATTAATGCATGAATACCATCCTTCCCACTAAAACCATAGCTTTACTAAAAGGTATTAACTTGAATCTTAAACTCAGCTGATTAAAAACTGGTGTTTTTTTTGAGATGAAGTCTTCTCTGTCACCCAGGTTGTAGTGCAATGGCATGGCTCACTGCAATCTCCGACTCCCAGGTTCAAGCGATTCTCCCACCTCAGCCTCTGGGATAGGAAGGACCACAGCTGTGTCCTACACCACACCCAGCTAATTTTTGTATTTTTAGTAGAGAAGGGGTTTCACTATGTTGGCCAGGCTGGTCTCAAACTCCTGACCACATGATCCACCCACCTGGGCCTCCCAAAGTGCTAAGATTACAGGAGTGAGCCACCATGCCCGGCCTAAAAAACTATTTCTTTTTTTTTTGAGACGGAGTTTCGCTCGTTACCCAGACTGGAGTGCAATGGCGCAAATCTCGGCTCACCACAACCTCTGCCTCCTGGGTTCAAGCAATTCTCCTGCCTCAGCCTCCCGAGTAGCTGGGACTACAGGCGCGCACCACCATGCCCAGCTAATTTTTGTATTTTTAGTAGAGACGGGGTTTCACCTTGTTGACCAGGACGGTCTCGATCTCTTGACCTCGTGATCCAGTCACCTCGGCCTCCCAAAGTGCTGGGATTATACGTGTGAGTCACCACGCCCGGCCAAAAACTATTTCTTAAAAAAGGTACCAAAACAAACTCACAGATCAAAGCCATTGGGGATTATGTAAGAGTCCCACCACTCAATTTCAGGGATATCTCCTTCCTTTAGCTCCTTCTTAGGAGCAATGAGGGCAAGCCTAGTCGAAGTATGTATGCCTGTTTTTCGAGCTGCTTGTGAAATCTCTGCCTGTAGCTTCTCCAGTTGAGCCTAAAAACAAAATAAACCAAGACAGAAAGATAAACTGGAATCATAGAAAATAGAATTTGTAGAATCCCAAATTTTAAAGCACTTCCTTGTTGAACTCTACACCTAATACAAAAAGTTCATAATTTCTGAAAGCTTAGAAAGGAGCTGTTCTGCTTTATTTTATCTTTTATTGAGTTCAGGTACATAGATCTCACCTTTACCCTCTCCCTTCATGCCACAGTATATGCCTGTGGTAAATACACAGAAATAGAATTTTATGAAAACCTCACTTTGAGAGGACAAAAAGAAGGCAAAGGTGATTCAATATACAATGAATTAAACTTTCTAGGTATGTTGTCTGCAGTAAATTTTAACACAAGGCAAGCTTTCCTCAGTCACTCAGAATGTTTCAAATTGTTTCCCTCCACTCAGTTGTATGTGGAGAATTTTCAAACTCAATTTAATATTTCCACTTATGTAGAAACTAATCAGGAAGAGCAATCTGCTTAAAAAAACATATTACAGAAACAAATACAATATATTTCTTTTTGAGAAGGAGTTTCAATCTCTTCCCCAGGCTGGAGGGCAGTGGTATGATCACAGCTCACCGCAACCTCTGCCTTTCGATTTCAAGTGATTCCCCTGCCTCTGCCTCTGGAGCAGCTGGGATTATAGGCGCCCGCCACCACGCCCGGCTAATTTTTGTATTTTTAGTAGAGACAGGGTTTTACCATGATAGCCGGGCTGGTCTCCAACTCCTAACGTCATGATCCACTCGCCTCAGCTTCCCAAAGTGCTGTTTTCAAATCGTTCATTGCTTTAAATCAGGAGTCCCCAACTCACCAGTCTGTGGCCTTTTAGGAAATGGGTTGCACAGCAGGTAAGCAGCAGGCAAGCCAATGAAGTTTCATCTGTACTTACAATCACTCCCTATTACCTGAATTATGGTCTGAGCTCTACCTCCTAACAGATCAGCAACAACATGAGATTCTCACAGGAGCACAAATCCTATTGCAAACTGTGCATGCAATGGACTTATGCTGTACATTCCTTATGAGAATCTAATGCCTGATATGTCACTATCTCCCATCACACCCAGATGGGACCGTCTCAGCAGGAAAACAGGCTCAAGGATCCCACTGATTTTATATTATGGTGAGTTGTATATTTCACCATATATTACAATAAAATAATAATAGAAATAGGCCAGCGTGGTGGCTCACGCCTGTAATCCCAGCACTTTGAGAGGCCGAGACAGGTGAATCACAAGGTCAGGAGTTTGGGACCAGCCTGGCCAACATAGTGAAACCCTGGCTCTATTAAAAATATAAAAAATTAGCCAGGCATGGTGGCATGCACCTGTAGTCCCAGCTACTCGGGAGGCTAAGGCAGGAGAATTGCTTGAACCCGAAGGCGGAGGTTGCAGTGAGCCATGATTGCACCACTGCACTTCAGCCCAGATGATAGTGTGAGACTCCATCACAAAAAAAAAAAAAGCTGGGCACACGGGCTCACACCTGTAATCCCAGCACTTTTGGAGGCCAGGGTGGGTGGATCACTTGAGGTTGGGAGTTCAAGATCAGCCTGATCAACATGGATAAACCCCATCTCTAATAAAAATACAAAATTAGCCAGACATCGTGGTGCAGGCCTGCAATCCCAGCTACCTGGGAGGCTGAGGCAGGAGAATTGCTTGAAACCGGGAGACAGAGGTTGCAGTAAGCTGAGATCGTGCCATTGCACTCCATCCTGGGCAACAAGACTGAAACTCCATTTCAAAACAACAATAATAATAGTAACAGAAATAAAGTACACAATAAATGTATGCACTTAAACCATCACGAAACCATCCCTACTTCTGGGGAATAATTGTCTTCCATGAAGCCAGTCCCTGCAGCCAAAAAGGTTGAGGACTACTGCTTTAAATGACCTATTTATCTAATTTCTTAGAACACTGAGATTTAACAGTGTTTTCCTGTGAGCTTCTTAACTTTTTCTAAATCCTGGGTTACGCTCTAAGCCAGATACCTTTGTCCGTAATCGCTGAGCAATCTTCTCAAATTTGCCCTTGTCATGGAATTTAAAAGTGCGTCTCTGGCGCTGGGAAGGGGCAATGGAGACTCGGGGGTCAAAAAAGGTATTGGACTCCATGTCTTCTGATGGCTTTTCCTTTAGCTGTTGCTTGAATTGTTCCCTCTTCACAGCACGAATATTGGCCTTCAGAGTAGGCATGCGGTGTGTCAGCTCAATCTCCTTGCCTGTTGCATCTACAGTGCGCCCTTGCTCATCTAGGATCAGTGGTGTGGGTTTAGTTTGGTCTTTTAACTCCACCTTCCTGAAAAATAGCCCGCAAAGAAATAAATCCTTTATAGAACATTAAGGCAAACAAAAAACAAACAAAATAAAGCCAGGCATGGTGGCTCAAGCCTGGAACCACAGCATTTTGGGAGGCCAAGGCAGCAGGATCACTTGAGCCCAGGAGTTAAGAGGCCAGTCTGGGCAACACAAGGAGATCCCGTCTCAACAAAAAATTTTAAATTAGCTGGGGGTGGTGGTATGTACCTGTGGTCCCAGCTACTTAGGAGGTTGAGGAGGATCACTTGAGCCCAGGCAGTTGAGGCTGCAGTGCCTTCACTTTAAGAGTTATTTGGGGCCGGGCACGGTGGCTCAAGCCTGTAATCCCAGCACTTTGGGAGGCCGAGGCCGGTGGATCACGAGGTCAAGAGATCGAGACCATCCTGGCCAACATGGTGAAACCCCGTCTCTACTAAAAATACAAAAATTAGCTGGGCGTGGTGGCATGCGCCTGTAGTCCCAGCTACTCGGGAGGCTGAGGCAGGAGAATTGCTTGAACCTGGGAGGCAGAGGTTGCAATGAGCCAAGATTGTGCCACTGCATCCAGCCTGGTGCCTGGTGACAAAGTGAGACTCTGTCTCAAAAAAAAGAGTTATTTGGATGGATGGGTGTGGTGGCTCACACTATGATACCCAGCACTTTGGTAGGCTGAGGTGGGTGGATTGCTTGAGTTCAGGAGTTCAAGACTAGCCTGAACTGGGCAACATAATGAAACCCCATCTCTACAAAAAGTACAAAATTTAGATGGCTGCCTGTAGTTCCAGCTACTTGGGAGGCTAAGGCAAGAGAATCGCTTGAACCTGGGAGGCGGAGATTGCAGTGAGCCAAGATCACGCCACTGCACTCCAGCATGGGTGAAACAGTGAGATTCTCTCTCAAAAAATAAATAAATAGACGACAAAAAAATTCTAGGGAACAATCTTATCAGTGAGTAATACCTTTTTTTTGGGGGGGGGAGGGAGACATGGTCTCACTCTGTTGCCCAGGCTGGAATACGTGGCACAATCACAGCTCATTGCAACCTCAACTTCCCAGACTCAAAAAATTCTCCTAAGCTTCCCGAGCAGCTGGAACTATAGACATAAACTACCACACCAGGCTAATTTTTGTATTTTTTAGAGAGATGGAGTTTTGCCATGTTGCCTAGGTTGGCCTTGAACTCCTAAGCTCAAGCAATCTGCCTGCCTCAGCCTCCCAAAGCGCTGGGACTACAGGTGTGAGCCACCTTGCGCAGCCAATAATATCTTGATTAAAAATATCAAAGTGGATATTTCAGTATATAGGGCAATTAAATGAAACTAGTTTATAAATTATATGAATTTATAATCCTTTCTTTATCCTTGAATTATTGAGTCAGGAATGCGATGGCAAATCAACTGCAGATGCTAAAAAAAAAAACATGTAACATCTTTGACCAGCTGCAGAGGAACTTCAGATCTGATCTCACACAATGTGGTTTAATGGATAAATCTGAGTTAGAAACCAGGAAGAAAACCTGGCTCTATTCCTAGTTCCAGTATTAGATGAATAACTTTGATCTCAGTTACATCAATCATAAGAAGATAATACACCCTGCAACAGGAAAGCGAAGAGAAAAAAAATTCAATGGGTTAATCAAACATAAAAAATATGAAACTGTGAGAAATGATCTAGGTTCTCTGGAAAAAAAGGATCAGTCACTTTTTTTTTTTTTAGGGCACCCCGCTGGGTGAGAGAATCTCGCTCTGTCACCCAGGCTGGAGTACGGTGGTGCACGATCTCAGCTCACTGCAACCTCTGCCTCCTGGGTTCAAGCGATTCTCCTGCTTCAGCCTTCCAAGCAGCTAGGATTACAGGCATGCGCCATCACGCCCCGCTAATTTTTGTATTTTTAGTAGAGACGGGGTTTCACCATGTTGGCCAGGCTGGTCTCGAACTCCTGACCTCAGGTAATCCACCCACCTTGGCCTCCCAAAGTGCTAAGATTACAGGCCTGAGACACTGGGCCTCGCCAGTTCAGTAACATTCAAAGGTATTCATTGCTTCTCAAACTTCAGAAATGAAAAGGTATTCCATGAAATAGACACTCACGGGGGAGCAATGCCCATGGCATGGAGATTAGCCAGGCCCACCATGTTGGCATTGCCAATGAGTCCTGGCTTCAGTGCCAGCTGGGCTTGGATTCGAGCTTGTAGTTCAGCTGCTTTCCTTGCCTTCTCAATGGCATCATTCATGAAAGTGGCAGCCTGGGAGGGTTGAATAGTGTTGCCAATTGGAAGTCGCTCTGGTTGGGAGGAAGAAGGAGTCTTTGGCTGTGAGACAGAGAAAAAGAAATCAGAGGAATTGAGACAGGCAGACAGATACACATACATACACACATAGACATACACACATCATGGTAGACTGTAGTAGATGATTTTGAAGTGAAACATGCAGTCACCTTTTCTGGTCTCTCACTTTGAGTAGATGGCAAGAAATTCTGTGCAAAAGATCATTCTTTACAGAGTAATCTAGACACAATACCTGAGGTGTAGGGGGGCTAATGAAGCTCAGCTGCTTTTTCCTCTCCTCAATTTGTCGTGTTGCTGCCTCCATCATCTGTTTGATCTGCTCTCCAGAAAAAAAAAAAAAAATTGAAAAACTGTTAATTTCTCCTTTTTACCTTTCCCATTCAGGTTTCTAAACCCACAAGGCTCTCAAATATAGAGACTTAAAATTTTCTGAATGATTATACTGAATTTTCTGAATGCATTATAGGGCAGAAAATTTAGTCAAGATAAGTAAGCACTGGAATTTTTCAACCCGTGTTCCTAAGGCAAGATTAGCATAGTAGGTAGTAACAGAGTGTGATGACTGAGACTCTGGAGTCAGAGAAATCTGAGCTTGAATCTTAACTCTGCCAGTGAATGCCTTTGTTATGTTGAATAAGGAACTTAGTCTCTAAACCTCCTAAGTGTCTAAGAGGGAGAAAAACAGTACCTACCTTATACGTCTGTTGTAACCACTTAAATAATGTATGCAAACCTACACAAATTATTATACTTAAAATTTCTTTTTAAATCATGATATAAGTACTAGAATTACTAGTTTGGGAAACAAGAGACGATGGTGCAAAGACCTGCTCCCTAGTCTCTAAAAATACCTTCTGTCCTAAAAAGTTCAGAATAAGCTTTGAGAGTATGACCAAACAACTCCTCCTGCATTTTGCAAAACAGACCTGTTCTTAAAGTGCTTCAAGATATTTTTAAAAATTTGTTTTTAACATTTTTTCTTGAGTAGATGATATATTCAAAATTCAAAAATTACAAAAGGGCCAACATGCTGGCTCACACCTGTAATCCCAGCACTTTGGGAGGCTGAGGTGGGTGAATCACTTGAGGTCAGGAGCTCAAGACCAGCTTGGCTAACATGGTGAAACACTGTCTCTAGTAAAAATACAAAAATTAGCCAGGTATGGTAGTGGGCACCTGTAATGCCAGCTACTCAAGAGGCTGAGGCAGGAGAATCACCTAAACTCAGAAGGAGGAGGTTGCAGCGAGCCAAAATCATGCCACTACACTCCAGCCTGAGCAACAGAGGGAGACTCCGTCTCAAAATAAATAAATAAATAAATAAATAAAAATTACAAAAGGACATGTGAGTACTTCCATCCTCTTTCTCCATGAAAAACATCATCGGCTAGGCGTGTGGCTCACACCTGCAATTCTAACGCTTTGGGAGGCTGAGGCAGGAAGATCATTTGAGCCCAGGAGTTAAGACCAGCCTAGGAAATATGGCAAAACCTCATCTTTACAAAAAAATACAAAAATTAGCCAGCCATGGTGGCCTGAAATCCCAGCTACTTAGGAGGCCAAAGTGGGAGGACAGCTCAAGCCTGGGAGGCAGAGGTTACAGTGAGCCAAGATCTTGCCACTGAACTCCAGCCTGGATGACAGAGACAGACCCTGTCTCAAAAACAAAAACAGGCTGGGCACAGTAGCTCACATCTATAATCCCAGCAGTTTGGGAGGCCAAGGTAGGTGGATCACTTGAAGTCAGGAATTCCAGACCAGCCTGGTCAATATGGTGAAACCCCTGTCTCTACTAAATATGAAAATTAACCGTGCATGGTGGCGCATGCCTGTAGCCCCAGCTACAGGAGGCTGAGGCAGGAAAATCACTTCAACCTGGGAGGCGGAGGCTGCAGTAAACCAAGATTGGACCACTGTGCTCCAGGCTGAGCGACAGAGAGATACTCCTCAAAAAAAAAAAAACAAAAAACATCCGTTTCTTTCCTTTCATAAATAGCATATATATGCAAATCCATCCATCTATATGTATGTATATGTTCTATTATACCCTTTGCATATTAAATGGTAAAAGAAACACTTATTGTTTATGTGGTATCAAAATTATTTAACGATGCCAATTGAAAAAACACAAATACTTCTTGTTAAAAAATAGTCCAAGGGGCCGGGAGTGGTGGCTCAAGCCTGTAATCCCAGCACTTTGGGAGGCCGAGGCGGATGGATTACGAGGTCAAGAGATCAAGACCATCCTGGTTAACATGGTGAAACCCCATCTCTACTAAAAATACAAAAAATTAGCTGGGCATGGTGCCTGTAATCCCAGCTACTCAGGAGGCTGAGGCAAGAGAATTGCCTGAACCCAGGAGGCAGAGGTTGTGGTGAGCCGAGATCGTGCCATTGCACTCCAGCCTGGGTAACAAGAGCAAAACTCCATCTCAAAAAAAAAAAAAGTACAAAGTTGGCCAGGGTTGGTGGCTCACACCTATAATCTCAGTACCTTGGAAGGCTGAGGCGGGCAGATCACCTGAGGTCAGGACCAGCCTGTCCAACATGGAGAAACCCCATCTCTACTTAAAACACAAAATTAGCCAGGCATGGTAGCGTGTGCCTGTAATCCCAGCTACTCAGGAGGCTGAGGCAGGAGAATTGCCTAAACCCAGGAGGCGGAGGTTGCGGTGAGCTGAGATCGTACCATTGCACTCCAGCATGGGTAACAAGAGCGAAACTCCGTCTCAAAAAAAAAAAAAGACTTCCTGGAACACTAAACATTAATTCAAATCAAGATCACAAGAGGTCCAGGAGAGGTGGCACACACCTGCAATCCCAGCACTTTGGGCGGCCAAGGCGAGTAGATCACCTGAGGTCAGAAGTTCGAGACCAGTCTGCCTGACATAGTGAAACTCTGTCTCACTAAAAAACAATAATAATAATACAAAAAATTAGCCAGGCATGGTGGCTCACACCTGTAATCCTAGCACTTTGGGGAGGCTGAGGCAGGTGGATCACCTGAGGTCAGGAGTTCAAGACCAGCCTGGCCAACATGGTGAAACCTTGTCTCTATTAGAAATACAAAAATTAGCCGGGCATGGTGGTGAGTGCCTGTAATCCCAGCTACTAGGAGGGCTGAGACAGGAGAATCATTTGAACCTGGGAGGCTGAGGTTGCAGTGAGCCTAGATCGTGACACTGCACTCCATCCTGGGCGACAAGAGCAAAACTCCAACTCAAAAAAAAAAGAAATCACAATAAATACAGACCCATGCACCCTTTGCTTTTTTAATTCACAAAACCATTTTGCTTCCAGTCCTTAATTACTAACCTGGAGCTTAGTCAGCATGCCAGGGCTCTCTGATGGAGGTCCAGGAATCACTTCTGGCTCTTCTTCCACCTCCTCAAAACGGGGTATTCGTCGCTTCTTTACTCCTGATGATTCCTTAGAGATCTCAGAGTCATCACCAAACACCTCCTAAGGGAACCCAAGATGAAAGAAAAGCTGTATCCCTCCTCACAGGGAGAAGGAAAGAATTATCCTAGCCCCTACCAGCATTTTCTGGCTTCTCCCAGGGGAATATGACACAACCTTGCAAATAGCTATCTGCCAGAAGCAGGGTCTACTAGACTCTCCACCAAGTGGACCATCTCACCCAACTTCAACATTCTCCTAATCCAGTCAAACAAATTTCATTCCCATGTTCTTACAAATGTTCCCATCTCAAGGTCTTTGCAAATGCTACTGCCCACATTTATAATGTCTCTCAACTTTTCCACAACCCCTGTTCCAAATCCTGCCTAAAACTCACCTCCTCTAAGAAGTTTTCCTCATTATAAGCTCACCCCACTCTGATCAAACTTTTGTTTCACATTGTCTTAGCACCTAAGAGCTTGGTTCATATTAGGTTAAATTACATTGTTGATATTTTGTTTGCCAAGTGTTAAGTATTTCAATGTTAGTATAGTTTTCCCAACTAAGTCTAAGCTCTTCCAGGAAAGGGGCTTTCTCTTTCTTCTTCAGTAATCCCCATTAACACCTTGTTTTCATCAAACAATGGGAACTCAAATATGATGACTAATTTGCAAGGTGAATTTAACAGGACCGAGAGTGGCCAACTGGAAGGGACAATGGGAAAAAGCAAATGTACACACCGGTGGTAGGCTTTGGGTGACATCCCCTCTTCACTAGGAGGGCTCGTGTTTTGCAAGGACATATCCTCAGCCAGGGGCGAGCGCTTCCTGGAACTCCTACAGTTCAAGAAAAAGGACTCTCCCATAATATATTGTGTGGGGTGGGGACTTGAATGGACCAAAAATGGGACCCGTATCCCAAGGCTATCTAGATACCTCCTTCAAGAAACCATTTTTATTAATCCCACCCAATGTAGTCACTTCACTCACAGTATGCCCTCAGCACTCATACAGAAGTATGCCCTACTGGCTTGGCACAGTGGCTCACACCTGTAAATCCCAGGACTTTGGGAGGCCAAGGCAGGCAGATCACAAGGTCAGGAGTTCGATGTATCCCAGCCCTTTGGGAGGCCAAGGCAGGCGGATCACCTGAGGTTGGGAGTTCAAGACCAGCCTGACCAACATGGAGAAACCCCGTCTCTACTAAAAATACAAAAATTAGCCAGGCATGGTGATTCATCCCTGTAATCCCAGCTACTCCGGAGGCTGAGGCAGGAGAATTGCTTGAACCTTGAAGGTGGAGGCTGCAGTGAGCCAAGATCACGCCATTGCACTCCAGCCTGGGCAACAAGAGTAAAACTCCGTCTCCAAAAGAAAAAAAAAAAAAGTTTGAGACCAGCCTGATCAACATGGTAAACCCCGTCTCTACTAAAGATATAAAAATTAGCCAGGCGTGGTGGCACGTGCCTGTAATCCCAGCTATTTAGGAGGTTGAGGCAGGAGAATTGCTTAAAGCTGGGTGGTGGAGGTTGCAGTGAGTCGAGATTACGCCGCTGCACTCCAGCCTGGGTGACAGAGCAAGACTTCATCTCAAAAAGAAAAAGAAAGTATGCCCTATTGTGACATAATCATCACTGTATATATCTGTGTATACTATGGATCAATCATTCCCCCTTAAATATAACAAAATTCAAATTAAGTCTGAAATTCTATAGCCAACCCTAAAATTTACATAAAACTGCTACTCAGATTTTATAATACGGGTCTATATACTATATTTTGTGGTATCTCTGCTCTATCAAATTACAGCTCCTGGGCTTAAGAGATCCTCTTGCCTCAGCTTCCCAAGTAGCTGGGATTACAGGCACATGCCACAGTGCCTGGCAAATTACAAATTATTTTAATGCAGGACTCTCTCTCCTTCTCTGATCACCCTACAATACTCTAAACACAAAAGGCACACATCTCTCTGGTTTTTCTTGTTCCATAGACTGCCCAGGGGACCAATCAGACATTGCTTATTCAAAAGCAATGGGATAGCCAAGGTATCAAAAGAACTTTGGAAGATTTCATAGGAGTCGCAGAATTTTTTTTAATAAAGAGAGATACTGGGAAATGAGTAGAAAGATAGGCTACTTGACACTGCTAATATTGAAAGAGGCCAGGATTAGTCAGCAAATATAGAATAAGAAGTGTAGTAGTTAAGGAGGCACTGACAACTCTTTCAAGTGTTTCACTCATGGCACCAGGTGACCAGCAATATGCCGTGTAGCAAATGGTAAGCTCTCAAGAATATAATAAATAATAGTTACTTTTTGGTATCCTATCTACAAGTGCATTGCAGAGAAACCTCTACAAAGAGACATCAGTGAGGTCTACAGCTCAGGTACCAGTGGAGTCACATTCTAAAACAACTTATAGGCCTCAAATCAAACATAAAATCTTAGAACAATTAGTTTATAGGTAGTAGTAACAAGGGGAAAAAAAAAAAGGAAATATGGAGAAAGATTAAAACCAAAACTCCTGTTATCTAAAAAAAGACAAAGCTACCAATTATTTCTTTGGATATTTCAACCCATGAACTTGGGTAGTTCATTATCATAATATGATGATGACACAATTCACCTCTTCTACTTTAACGTCTAAGTACCTCTCTTGAACATTTGGTGCTCTAAATCGTGGACATCAAAGTGTGAACTGGCAAGCTCAGCAACTCTGTTACCATTCAAAACAGTCCTGAGCTCATTAGATAGTAAATTGTAACCTACCTTTAGCTCTCGTTTTCTGCTCCTGTCACTGCTAGACTTGGAATGCCTAGAGCTTCGGCCTTCCTCCACAGCCTCAAACAGTTTGTCCACAAATCGCAGAGTAGAATCATCAAGAAAAGGTTTCAGATGATCTGACAGGAAAAAAGGCGGTGGTAGGATTGGAAAGATAAGAGTATATACACTAATACTAGGCCTAGAACAGGTACCAACACTGGAATTTCACTCCTAGGAGTGAAACAAATTTTAAGTTCTTTGCAGGATTCCCATCTCTCTTACAGTGAATGACCTTGCCCTTTGAGGTGAAAATACTTATAATTTTTTAGAGTGGGAAGTCAGTCAGAATAACCTATTTAGGTTGAACATCAAGTTTAAGATGAATAATCGCCAGGCGTGGTGGCTCACGCCTGTAATCCTAGCACCTTGGGAGGCTGAGGTGGGTGGATCACCTGAGGTCAGGAGTTCCAGACCAGCCTGTCCATCATGGTGAAACCCCATCTTAAAAAACATATAAAATATATATATTAAAAAAAAAAAAGAGATGAATAACCACCCTAACCTTTCCCAAATAGCAAGCTGTAGGAGACTACCATTAACAAAATCTGCCTCCTTCAAGCTTTTTCACGTATTTCATAAAGACTTTTATATGTTGAGATGTCAATCTGAATAACTGAACATGCCTATCTGACTTTAGCATACTTCCTAAGTAAATCTAACTTGGGTGACTCAGTATGGTAGCCAAAGGAAGATTTAAAATATATCACAAATAACATAAAAAATAAGCAATAAGAGAAAAAGCAAAATTATTATTTAGGCTACTTGCAGTAAAATACAAATGAAAATAAAATGTGGCCTGCCCTTTTTTTAGACGTTCCCAACAGAGAGAATTTTGGGGAAGTTCAAAGCAGTGTTTGGGATCACCCTGTAAGTTAAGACAAAAGCTGCAGAAAGGTACATACCAGCCGCCTTTTTCTTGTCCATGCCCTTCCCCACACAGTTCAATGCTGCTGTGACCACTGTAGGCTCTGAGAAACCCAGCACCCTCTTCACTGTCTTCTCTATCCATGGTTTCAGCTCATCCAGCTCCCTCTTAGACAATGCCATTTTTGAGGAAAAAGAGTACAATAGCTCAAACAGGACTCAATACTACACCTGAAAAAAAAAAGAGACAAGTTAGATAATAAGAAAAGACTACAGTAGGCCAGGTGTGGTGGCAATCCCAGCACTCTGGGAGGCCGAGGTGGGTCATTTAAGGTCAGGAGCTCGAGAACAGCCTGACCAACATGGTGAAACCTCGTATCCACTAAAAATAATAAAAATGAGGCCGAGTGTGGTGGCTCATGCCTGTAATACCAGCACACTGGGAGGTCAAGGCAGGTGGATCACAAGGTTAGGAGTTCAAGACCAGCCTGACCAATACTGTGAAACCATCTCTACTAAAAATACAAAAATTAGCTGGGCATAGTGGCATGTGCCTGTAATTGCAGCTACTCAGGAGGCTGAGGCAGGAGAAATGCTTAAACCCAGGAGGCAGAGGTTGTAGTGAGCCAAGATTACAACACTGCACTCCAGCCTGGGAGACAGAGTGAGAATCCGTCTCAAAAAAAAAAAAAAAGTAAAAATGAGTTGTGCGTGGTGATGAACCCCTGTAATCTCAGCTACTCAGGAGGCTAAGGCAGGGGAATTGCTTGAACCAGCGCGGTGGAGGTTGCAGTGAGTCGAGATCATGCCCTTGCACTCCAGCTTGGGCAACAAGAACGAAACTCCATCTCAAAAAAAAAAAAATTAAAGTGGATCCAGGGAAATGTTAATATATGAGGAATGCATTCTCCACCTCTATTCTCAATCCTAGACAAGTTCTGCCAACTCATTTGAAGGCAAGTATTTTCCCCAAGAACCATATCTCAAAACAGAAAGAGATTCTATTTTTTTTTTTTCTTTTTGAGACAGTTTCGCTCTGTCACCAGGCTAGAGTGCAGTGGGGCAATCCTGGCTCACTACAACCTCTGCCTCCCGGGTTCAAGTGATTCTTCTGCCTCAGCCTCCCAAGTAGCTGGGACTACAGGTGCATGCCACCACGCCATGCTAATTTTTGTGTTTTTAGTAGAGATGGGGTTTCACCATGTTGGTCAGGATGGTCTCAATCTCTTGATCTTGTAATCCACCTGCCTTGGCCTTCCAAAGTGCTGGAATTACAGGTGTGAGCCACCGTGCCCCGCCCCATTTGATTTTTAACTCTTTAACTCTTAAGTTGACCAATGAAAACTGTGGAATAAATAAACTCTGTGAATAAGCTAAGCCTGAGAAATGAGACTTAGCTTTATCCTGTCATATCAACAAGGACTTGCAAATATAGCAACACTAAAACAAAACTAAAGAAGCCCATTCAGGGGCCAGCTTTTCCATTCTCCGTACTTCCAGGCAGGCATTCGTTGACTTACATAAGCTTCCCTCCTTTTTTGCTTTTTCTTGTTTTTTGTTTTTGAGACAGAGTTTTGCTCTTTTGCCAGGCTGGAGTACAGTGGTGCAATCTCAGTTCACTGCAACCTCCACCTCCCAGCTACAAGCAATTCTCCTGCCTCAGCCTCCCAAGTAGCTGGGACTACAGGCGCACGCCACAATACCCAGCTAATTTTTGTATTTTAGTAGAGACAGGGTTTCACTATGTTGGCCAGGATGGTCTCGATCTCTTGACCTTGTGATCCGCTTGCCTCGGCCTCCCAGAGTGCTGGGATTACAGGTGTGAGCCACCGCACCAGGTCAGGCTTCCCTTCTTTTAAGATACAGAAGTAAAAGAGAGATTATCCAGGTCAGTCATCCTGGATATTAAATTAAATCTCATGATCCTTAAGAATGTTCTGCCACTTTTCTCTGTGGTCATAGTCATCCTAGTGGGAATTCTGCATACAGATAATTATCATGTTCAATCTACAGGGTCTCCATCAGCTGACTTGATGATCCTTCAGCTCAAAAAAGAATACGCTTTTTTCTTTCTTAGAGTCTCGCTCTGTCGATAGGCTGGAGTGCAGTGCCGAGATCTCGGCTCACTGCAATCTCCACCTCCCACGTTCAAGCGATTCTCTTGCCTCAGCCTCCCAAGTTGCTGGGATTACAGGCATGTGCCACCACGCCCGGTTAATTTTTGCATTTTTAATAGAGACAGGGTTTCACCATGTTGGCCAGGATGGTCTCCATCTCTTCACCGAGTGATCTGCCTACCTCAGCCTCCCAAAGTGCTGGGATTACAGGCATTGACCCACTGCGCCATCTCTACTAAAAATACAAAAATTAGCCTGGCAAGGTGGTGGGCACCTATAACCCCAGCTACTGGTGAGGCTGAGGCAGGAGAATCACTTGAACCCAGGAGGTGGAAACTGCAGTGAGCCAAAATCACGCCACTGCACTCCAGCCTGGGAGACAGAGTAAAATTGTGTCTCAAAAAAAAAAAAGACAGGTGCAGTGGCTTACATCCGTAATCCCAACATTCTAGGAGGCCGAGGTGGGTGAATCACCTAAGGACAGGAGTTTGAGACCAGCCTGGCCAACATGGTGAAACCCCATCTCTATTAAAAATACAAAAATTCCCAGGCACAGCGACTCATGCCTGTTATCTCAGCACTTTGGGAGGCCGAGGCAGGCAGATCACAAGGTCAGGAGCTCGAGACCATCCTGGCTAACACGGTGAAACCCCATCTCTACTAAAAATACAAAAAATTAGCCAGGCATGGTGGCATGCGCCTGTAGTTACAGCTACTCAGGAGGCTGAGGCAGGAGAATCACTTGAACCCAGGAAGCAGGGGTTGCAGCGAGCTGAAATCACACCACTGCACTCCAGCCTGGGTGACAGAGTGAGACTGTCTCAAAAAAAAAACCAATAATTAGCTGGGCGTGGTGACGCACGCCTGTAATCCCAGCTGCTCCGGAGTCTGAGACAGAAGAATCACTTGAACCTGGGAGGCGGAGGTTGCAATGAGCCAAGATCATGCCACTGTACTGCTGCCTGGGCTACAGAGCAAGACTCCTCGGAAGAAAAAAGAAAAAAGTGCCTAAATGGGAGTCAATAAATTGCACTGACCTCAATTTCCAAACTCAGCTATTCCCAGCAGTGCCACTCATCAGAGATCTGGAAATCAATCTTTCAAGATGTTTTAAGATATCTTTTCTCCAAAAAATCCAGTCTGATTAACTGTTACATTCTTGGTAGGTTTACCCTCTCTATGAGAGTCTATAAGACTTGCTGCCAAATAGTGGACTGGCTTTTGGTATAGCCAAAGGAAGCTAGTAAAGTGATAAAATTAAGGGTGAAAGATTCTCTGCCTCAGTGACAAGTTATATGAATAATTCCATGGTGGCTCTATTATGTAATAATTCTATGGATATGGTGTATCCAGACGCCATACAAAGTGAAAACAAGAGCTCACAGAGAACAGTTGGGACACAGTTCCACCGTTGACAAGCCCTTGAGCAAGTTAATTAACTCTTTGGGGCCACAGTTTACTCATCTTACAAAATAAGGACTACCATATTTACATTTTAATTCATTCAATACATATGGATTGAATAACTACCATATGTCAAGCAATAGACTGGGTGCCGAGGATACATAAAACAGTGAGCACCGCTAACAAGAGTCCTCGCCTTAACAGGTCTTATTTCACTAGAATTGAATCACAGGCTAGAAATTATAAGCAATTTGAAAACGCAAAACAATAAACGAGGTGCAATTGTTACCTCCATAAGATGATGTGCAAACTAAACAGCCAATGGACAAAAAAGTTTCCAACGCTAACTAGCTTTGTCTCTGACCAAAGGTTCAATAAAAACTGCGAGGTGCGGGGGCAGTGGGGGTGCAGGAGAGTGAGGTACAACGATCTCCTGTGAATGAGCAGGCAGCAGAATCCAAATCCAGTCTTCTGAAGGAATTCCTTACTCCGTGCTCTTGTTTGCTACATCCCGAGTTTCCCTCTGCAGCCCCCAATCTTCTATTTTTACTCTCTCAGTCACTCCAACCAGTCTCTTACTCCACCTTGTTCTACCCAAACTCTTCACCTCAGAGCTGGTCTCCCCACCCGGTCTCCTTCCCGCCCCCGCCCTTTTCCTCTCAACAATCTCATTCCAATCCCTTCTCCCACCAAGCCCGGGACTCCTCTCTCCTTCCTGCTGAACCCTCCCGCTTCGGTCATCCCCTTGGACTGAGCCACCCGCCACAGCAGCGCAGACCGGAGTTACCTTCTCTGGGCCCGGGGCCACTACTCACCTCACAAACTTCAGCCCCTGAGACGGAGCCCGAACGTTACACCGGAACCGGAAACCTTCTGACCGCCCTACGGCCTGCCGTCGTTACCGCCACTGCCGCCGCCACGCCGCTGTCTCCCAACACGTGACCAAGGGGGCCGGGCCGCCAATTCGCGCAGCCGTATTTCCCTGGAGGCGGAGCGCATGCGTCGCAGAACCGAAAAGTTTCCCTGAACGAGTTCCTCGCTTGCTGTTTCCCGGGCTAAACCTGTTAACTAGATTTCTGCCAAGTTAGTGTATTTAACATCCTGAAGTGGGAATTAGGCTACTTGCGTTTTCCTCATAAGGAAAATAAGTGCGCAGAAGTAAACCTCGGGTAGAACGAAGAGCGAGGCTTCCGCGTTTGTGTTCAAACACAGCCTTTGCGATAGAAAGTAAACCCTTTCAGTCTTGATCACTAGAATTGGCCATCCCTCCTTAACCTTTTCTCCCTAAGGTAACAGTGGTGTCAGGCCCCGCGCGGTGACTCTCGCCTGTAATCCCAGCACTTTGTGCCCAATAAATGACAAGTGAGACCTACCAGTATTCCTTTCTTCATTCTATCAATAGGTCTATATATTTCCTTTTCTTCTAAATGAGGCTTTAACCTACTGACTCTTTTATTTTTGTTTGTTGGTTTATTTATTTATTTAGAGACGGAGACTCGCTCTGTCGCCAGGCTGGAGTGCAATGGCGCGATCTTCGCTCACTGCAACCTCTGCCTCCCGCGTTCAAACGATTCTCCTGCCTCAGACTCCCGAGTAGCTGGGACTACAGGCGCGCACCTCCATGCCCAGCTAATTTTTGTATTTTTGGTAGAGACGGGGATTTCACCATGTTGGCCAGGACGGTCTCGATGTCTTCACCTCGTGATCCTCCCACTTCGGCCTCCCAAAGCGCTGGGATTACAGGCATGAGACACCGCGCCCGACGCCTACTGACCCTTTAAATCAGTGATTCCTAACAACATGTATATGGGCAAAGGTAGTTTGGAAAAAGAATGTGCAGTATTATGACACAATTTCTTATATGAGAAACGGAAAAAGTTTCATTATTTTTAGATTGTAAACTATCCAAACTAAAATTCCAAAATGTCGTCTTGGTGGTAGGCTCACTAGTAGATGCAGTTGTTCTTCAGGGAGATTTTTGTATCTAAAGATACAATGTACATACCAAGCCCACCTTCCCTGATGGGGCAGCATGACTTAACAGGAAAAAGCCTGGCTCTGAAGGAACAAGTTGGAGGAGCTTGAACGTGCTGCTCAACTTATTCACATCAGTTCCTTCCCCACCCATATACAGCTTCTAACACCGATGTTTCACAAAATATTAACTCAAAAAAGTCTGTTGAATGGGTTAATGAGTTTCACTGATTCAGGGTTGTTGTAAATTTATTTTGTTTTAGTGCTTCTAACAGTCTGGTTCAATTCCCTATAGAGAAATGTGTTTCTAAAAACTGATTTTAGGCCCAGGCGTGGTGGCTTATGTTTGTAATCCCAAGACTTTGGGAGGTCAAGGTGGGTGGGTCACTTGAGGTCAGGAGTTCAGGACCAGTGTGGCCAACATGGTGAAACCTCATCTCTACTAAAAAATGCAAAAATTAGCTGGGTGTGGTGTGAAGCACCTGTAATCCCAGCTATTCAGGAGGCTAAAGCAGGAGAATCGCTTGAACCTGAGAGGCAGAGGTTGCAGTGATCCACGATCGTGCCACTGCACTCCAGCCTGGCAACAAGAGCAAAACTCCATCTCAAAAAAAAAAAAATGAGGGCTGGGTGCAGTGGCTCACATATGTAATCCCAGCACTTTGGGAGGCCGAGGTAGGTGGACCACTTGAGGCCAGGAGTTCTAGACCAGCCTGCCCAACATGGTGAAACCCCTTCTCTACTGAAAATATAAAAATTAGCTGGGCGTGGTGCACGTCTGTAATCCCAGCTACTTGGGAGGCTGAGAATCTCTTGAACCTGGGAGGCAGAGGTTGCAGTGAGTCGAGATCATGCCACTGCACTCCAGCCTGGCCAACAGAGTGAGATTCTTCTCTTTCTTTCTTTCTTTCTTTCTTTCTCTCTCTCTCTTTCTTTTTTCTTTTCTTTTCTTTCTCTCTCTCTCTCTCTCTTTCTTTTTTTGAAGACAGAGTCTTGCTCTATCCCCTAGGCTGGAGTACACTGACAGGATCTCAGTTTACTGCAACCTCTACCTCCCAGTTTCATGCAATTCTCATGCCTCAGCCTCCTGAGTAGCTAGAATTACAGGTGACTGCCATCATGATCAGCTAAATTGTGTATTTTTAGTAGAGATGGTGTTTCACCATGTTGGTCAGGCTGGTCTAGAACTCCTGGCCTCAAGAGATCCACCCACCTTGGCCTCCCAAACTGCTGGGATTACAGATGAGAGCCACTGTGCCCAGCCTAGAGTGAGACTCTTGTCTCAAAAACACCTAAAACTAAAGAGCAATAACTGTAAAACTCTTGAGAGGAAAACACAGCAGAATAAGAGAGTATCTTTGTGACATTGGATTTGTCAATAATTTCTTAGATGTGATGCCAAACATACAGGCAAACAAAGGAAAAACAGATGAATTGAACTTCATCAAAATGTAAAGTTTTGTGCATCAAATGACGCTATCAACAGAATGAAAAGGCAATCCACAGAATGGGAGAGAATATTTGCAAGTCGTATGTCTGATAAGAGATTAATATCCAGAATATATTAATAGCACAACTCAACAACAAAACAACCTAACAACCTAATTCTCTCTTTTTTTTTTTTTTTTTTTGAGAAAGAGTTTTGCTCTTGTTGCCCAGGCTGAAGTGCAGTAGCATGATTTCAATTCACTGCAACCTCCGCCTCAAGTGATTATCTTGCCTCAGTCTCCTGAGTAGCTGGGATTACAGGCATATGCCACCACGCCTTGCTAATTTTGTATTTTCAGTAGAGATGGGGTTTCTTCATGTTGGTCAGGCTGGTCTCAAACTCCCGACCTCAGGTGATCTGCCCACCTTGGCCTCCCAAAGTGTTGGGATTACAGAAGTGAGCCACTGCACCTGCCCCCCCAACCCCTTTTTTTTTCTTTTGAGACACAGTCTGCTCAGTCACCCAGGCCGGAGTGCAGTAGCACGATCTCGGCTCACTGCAACCTCTGCCTCCCAGGTTCAAGTGATTCTCTAGTCTCAGCCTCCCAAGTAGCTGAGATTACAAGCATGCAGCACCATGCCGAGCCAATTTCTGTATTTTTAGTAGAGATAGGGTTTTGCCAGGTTGGACAGGCTGGTCTCGAACTCCTGGCCTCAAGTGATCCGCTGGCCTTGGCCTCCCAAAGTGCTGGGAATACAGGCGTGAGCCATCGCACCTGACCAAAACAACCTAATTCAAAAATAGGCAAAACACTTGAATATACATATGTTCAAAGAAGACAATGTCAAATAAGCACATGGAAAGATGCTCCACAGCATTAGTTACTAGGGAAATGCAAAGCAAAACAACAAGGAAATACCACTTCACATCCAGTAGGATGGCTACTATAAAAATTAACAACAAAAAAAGAGGTCAGGTGCAGTGCCTCATCCCTATCATCCCAGTACTTTGGGAGGCCAAGGCGGGTAGAGAGCTTGAGCCTGAGAGATCAAGGTGGCAGTGAACTGTGATCATGCCACTGTACTCCAGCCTGGGTGACAGGAAAAGAAGGAGAAAGGGTCCAGAGGGAGGAAGGAAGGAAGGAAACAAGTTTTAACACTTGTGCCCTGTTGGTGGAAATATAAAAGGGTGTAGCTGCTATGTAAGACCGTAGTTCCTCAAAAAATTAAAAATAGGCTGGGTGTAGTGGCTCACTCCTGTAATCTCAGAATTTTGGAAGGCTGAGGTGGGCAGATCACAAGGTCAAGAGATCAAGACCAGCCTGGTCAACATGGTGAAACCCTGTCTCCACTAAAAATACAAAAATTAGTGAGACTCCATCTCAAAAAAAAAAAAAAAAGAAAAGAAAAGAAAAAGAAATTAAAAGTAGAATTTTCAGGGCTGGGCGTGGTGGCTCATGCCTGTAATCCCAGCACTTTGGGAGGCCAAGGCGGGTGGATCACGAGGTGAAGAGATCGAGACCATCCTGGTCAACATGGTGAAACCCTGTCTCTACTAAAAATACAAGAAATGAGCTGGGCATGGTGGTGCGTGCCTGTAATCCCAGCTACTCAGGAGGCTGAGGCAGGAGAATTGCCTGATCCCAGGAGGCGGAGATTGCGGTGAGCCGAGATCGCGCCATTGCACTCCAGCCTGGGTAACAAGAGTGAAACTCCGTCTCAAAAAAAAAAAAAAAAAAAAGGTAGAATTTTCAGATGATCCAGCAATTCTACTTCTGTGTATGTATCCCAAAGAAATGCAAACAAGGTCTCAAAGAGATATCTGTACTCCTGTGTTCATAGTAGCATCATTCACAATAGCCAAATGATGGAAACAACGCAAGTGTTCATCAACAGATGAGTGGATAAACAGAATATGATGGATACATACAATGGAATATTATTCGGATATAAAAACAAATGAATTACTGATACATGCTACAACAAAGATGAACCTTGAACATCATATGCTAATTAAAATAAGCTAGGCAAAAGGGAAAATACTGTATGATTCCACTTTCAGAAGTAACTAGAATAGCCAAATAGAGACAGAAAGTAGAATAGAGGCCCTCAGGGGCTGGAGAGAGGGGAGTAGGGAGTTAATGCCTAATGGGTACAGAGTTCCTGTTTTGAGTGAAAAGTTCTGGAAACAGTGGTGATAGTTATACAACATTATGCATTTACTTAATGGTACTGAATTGCATACTTAAAATTAATAAAATGGAAGTTTCATGTATGTATATTTTATTACAATAAAACAAGACATAATTAGGACAGGGCCTGGCACATTTTAAGACAGTAGGCCGGGCGCAGTGGCTCAAGCCTGTAATCCCAGCACTTTGGGAGACCAAGGCGGGTGGATCACGAGGTCAAGAGATCGAGACCATCTTGGTCATCATGGTGAAACCCCATCTCCACTAAAAATACAAAAAATTAGCTGGGCATGGTGGCGCGTGCCTGTAATCCCAGCTACTCAGGAGGCTGAGGCAGGAGAATTGCTTGAACCCAGGAGGCGGAGGTTGCGGTGAGCCGAGATTGCGCCATTGCACTCCAGCCTGGGTAACAAGAGAGAAAGTCCGTCTCAAAAAAAAAAAAAAAAAAGAAACAGTAGATCATATTTATTGTCATATATTCCTTCAATAAATATTTACTGAGCATTTAAGTGTTGGGTATTATACAAGACACTGGGAATACAGTGGTAAAAACGATGGGCAGGGCGTGGTGGCTCATGCCTGTAATCCCAGCACTTTGGGAAGCTGAGGTGGGTGGATCACCTGAGGTCAGGGGTCTGAGACCAGTTGGCCAACATGG